CTGCTTTCCGGGGAGTTACACTGGCTGTCAGGTGTGTTTTAAGAAGCACAGATAACAAAACACACACACACACACACCAACCACACACACACACACACACGGCAACACAGAAGAATAAGCAGTCATTATACGCTAAGTGTTGTACATTTGACCTGGAAAGAGACAGAAGAATAAGCAAGATAAGTTTATTAATGAGAATCCTCGCAAAAGCTATACAGATGATAAAAATAGACACTCAGCAGAATACAGTTCATTCACGGTAACTCATGCTAAAAGCGAAGACTGCAGCAAACAAACACTGTAGGGGCACTTTTAAAGGCAGACAGATACTCAGCGAGCATAATAATTAGGTGTGCATCTCTCCAAATTGAAAGACGATTCGATGCGTAGACGGTCAGAAGAGATGGCAGTTTTCAGCAGCTGTGCTGCATCAGCAGCCATAGAACCGATTATAACTTTTCAATCGGGCCATCGGCCGGTTCAAGCTACATAAGACCGATTTATTAGTCCGTGTACCTTATGCACTCGCATCTTTTAAATCAAAATCGATTTTCCGATTCAAATCGTTTTTTGTACACCGCCACATAAAATACAAACCAGATATTCACTGGTCTACAGAAAACATCAAGTATCAAAAAATGTGGAATTTCAACTGGTATTGGTATCAACCTACTAACACTTTTGCTGGATATTGCTTCCCGACACTACCCTACGTTTCAACGATTTAATCTACGGTATATAAGGTAGTATATATGATGAATATAAGTCCAGCATAGAGCAGCAGACAGGTTTATTTTTTTACAGGGTCCTGCTCAATACATAAAAGGTGCACTATGCGATCTTGCATGGTTTCAGCGCGATTTTATTTTTGTCTCAAATCGTAGGCAGTCTCTCCTGATCGGCTCAGCTGCCTGCCCCTTGGAATGTACACTGTTGGAAGAAATACCCGTCTCGGGAGACAACACAGGGCTCGGTAAGACGTCAAGACAATCACTAGGGGCACGCAGGCTGTGCACCAAAATACAACAAACACATTCCAGCCCGAATCAGGCACAAGGATGTTGGCAGAGGGGGTGGGGGTTTAGGCGCGTGCACAGAACTGGGGGACAGAGAGCAGAGTTGAAGTTCGAGTAGCGTATGCTTCCACGACTGCAGCTCGAACAGTGTATGAGAGGGCGAACAAGAAATTATGGACACTCGTAAGCCATTTCAACTATGTAATACGTTTGTAGTTCCTAGATTTTTCGACTCAGAATCAGATACGCTGCCACAGGGGCTTCGTAGCATGCTGGCCGTAGCTGTAGCCGACTGGTAAGTGACGGAAGCCTTTTTCGTAGCAAGCGGATTAGATGAGAAGGGTCAGATGCGGTCTTGAGCGTTCCCGTCATGGACACAATGAACGCCTACTGGGCGTTCCTGGCGGGTAGCGTTTCGATCGACCAAATCGCAATTCAGTACGGTTTGCAGTCACGTGGCTTACCATGCGATATACCTTGGCGGCGCCGCAGAAGAAACGCCGTTCATGGGTTCTATATATACAGTGTTCAAGACGAACACATTATTAGATTAATTCGTTATCATGACAAAACGATTTTCGTTATGTCGACCGGATAATGAATTAAGTAAGTCCGTTATCACGAGATAACATCGCATAAAAAATAAAAAAATCCGCATGGCCGTTCTCGGGCTTCCGTATCCTTTTGCATAAGCTCATACAAGATCTTTTCAGTATATCAGCTGTAACCTACATAACCTTCATCGTAACATATTGTATAAAGACTTAGAATATAAATGTACTTCACGTAAACAGTTGGAGTTAGCGTCGCAGCCGATCTTAGCGACGTTACGTAGCACAACTCCCTCTCGATTTCATGCGCGTTCACTGACAGTTACGAAACATGGGGGGCAGGGGCGAGCTGTGCTCTGTTTCTGTTTGCGTATTACGTTCTAACCGACAACAGAAGCGGGACGTCCGGATGCAGGGATCGCATAGTGCACCTTTAACTTTTTTTTACTTACAAATATCGATATTGGTATCTGTCTCAAAAATATGGTATTGCTTGGGTTGTAATATTTCTGTTTTGTAAACCATTCTGTTTGTGAATAAGCATGAGCTTAGAGTGAGGCACAGTCAGCCAAAGTTTTTCAGGTGAGGCTTTTTAGATAACTGTTGTGTTTTTTCTTTTGTAGCCTGAGGAGAAGAGTAAATTTGATGGGATTTTCGAAAGTTTGGCTCCAGTCAATGGCCTACTGTCAGGAGAGAAGGTCAAACCAGTCCTAATCAACTCCAAGCTACCTCTGGATGTCCTTGGGAAGGTATTGACTTGGTTTCTTATATTAGACAAGCCTATATTATTACAATAGGCTTGTTGGTTCTATGATTTAAGATTAAACTACTCAAGCCACAACGTAAATGTTAGAGTCAAGTTTCCCCACAAATATGAAATAGCATTAATTTAATGATGGCTGGTAGAACTGTTGTTCACAGGTTAAATTGTCAAAGAAGATGCTTTTTTCCTATGTGGAATTCTAGTAATGAAATATAATCTGTAATAGTTACCACTTAAATCACACTGAATTGCCTCAACATGTTTTTTTACTGCTGTTAGGTTTGGGACCTGAGTGACATAGACAAAGATGGCCATCTAGACAAAGATGAGTTTGCAGTGGTAAGTGTTATTTTCTTCACTGTTACTGTATGTAGTGTAGATTCTCTATTCCCTGACTTCCATAAATATACACTTGGTGGCCACTTTATTAGGTACATTCATGCTGCAGATCCAATGTAAAACCACAACCCAAAAGTGCTCTGCTGGATTGAGGTCTTTAAAGAACACAGGATCATTTGTGTTTATTTGCCACTGAACCCACTTACTACAGCAATATGAACCCAAAATAAACAGATTTTGCTGTGATATGATTGCACCAAACGGATCAAACTGCTTGTTTTCTGAACAGAGTTTGGCTTGAACATGGCTATGCTAACTTAGTGCCACCGAGATCTAGAATCAAATAAGATATTTTAAGAACTTTAACAAGCAGGTGTACCTATTGAGATTTTTTAGAAACAGTGAGTGTGGGTTGTATCTAACTCAGTGGTTCTCTTCACGAGGGGTCATGAGGTTTTTCTATAAAATGTGTTTTTGGGCTTTTATTGCCTTTAATGGATAGTAAGGCCTTACTTCTTGAGTTTAAGGGGTGTAAGAAAACCTAAAAGGGGTGTAAGAAAACCTAAAAGTATGCACAGTAGGCCTATATCTCTCTATATATTGTTCATTACTGTAAAGAAAGTAGTTTAGTTTAGTAGTTTAGATTATTACTTTAGATCTAAACTTTAAAGACCTAAACACAGGCTATATTCACAGAGCCTTCACACAAAGAGCTAATAGAACAATGAGAAAAAATTGTCAAAAAATAAATCTATTAAGTATGTGTGATTGTTAAAAAAAACACAATACAAATAGAATTGTATAAAACGTTCCTTAAAATAATCAGGAAAACTGTGATAAATCAATATCAATATCACAGGAAATAAGCTAAAAATTCATCCAAATCACTCGTTTTACACAAAGTTCCTGCAGTTATTGTGTTCACTGTTATACATTGAATATTATAAATAAATTATATAAATAATAAACTGTCTGAGTCAGTTTACTCCGTGATAGAATAGGCAACCACTAGTCCAACTAATGAAGAGATATTAAGCTCTCAAGCATAGTTAAACAGCATTATTGTACTGTGTACTTTATAGGAAATGCTAAAAATGCTAAAATTAATATTAGGTGAGTGTCAGACCCAGCACGTAATCCATATTAGAGTAACAATTAGTTTTATGAGCAGCCAGTAAGTATGTATTAATAGCAGGATGTGCCTCCCCAGGCCATGCACCTGGTATACCGGGCCCTGGAGAAGGAGCCTGTTCCTGCACTCCTCCCCTCTGCCCTCGTCCCTCCATCAAAGAGAAAGAAGAGTCTCGGCTCCGTGTCCGGCTCCGTGCCTGGACTGCCTGCAAGCCCCCCACCACCAAAAGACTCTCTGCGCTCCACCCCTTCCCACGGTAGCATGAACTCACTCAACAGCACCGGCAGCCTGTCGCCCAAACACACGCTCAAGTCTGGACAGGTAATATGTACGCTGCACTAATATACATACGTACACCGATCAGCCATAACATTGTGAGCACTGACAGGTGAATAACACTGATTATCATCATCATGGCACCTGTCAGTGGGTGAGATATATTTGGCAGCATGTGAACATTTTGTCCTCAAAGTTGATGTGTTAGATGCAGGAAAAATGGGCAGCGTTGAGGATTATTTCGGATGCGACTATTGACGAAGGTCCACATTGGGGTGATGGGCTGCGACTGGTTTTCGAGCATCTCCGAACTGCCAGCGCTTGTTGGGTGGTTTCCGTAGGCGTGTTTAGGCTGGCGCCCGGTGTGGGGTTCATCAACGAGCAAGCTACTGTAGCTCAAACTGGTTGGAAAAGTTAATGGCTGGGTTCTGATAGAAAGGTGTCGAACACACAGTGCATCACAGTTTGTTGGTATGGGGCTGCATAACATTATGACCACCACAGGGTGTCCAGGTGCTTACAATGTTGTGGCTGATCGGTATACAGACACCTTTAATCAGTAAACACACTATAATCCATAATTAGGCCCCGAGCACTGACCGTGCGAAGGCCCTATTGTAATTGAAGAAATTCTTCTTTATATGTCAGTCGTGGCAAAACATTTTATATTTTCTAGGGGTCCACTATGATCATGACAAAATGGCCCCTCAGGGGGCCCATAAACTGTACCACCCGGGGACCCTTTCACCGATATGCATAAAAATCGGCGCACACGTAAAAAATCCAGTGGGCGCCATATCCCTAACCCAACAGAAAGTTGGCCATTTTGGATTTCGCTGTCATTCCTGGCGATTTGCACACGTTGTATTTGATCGAACTCCTCTTAGGGAATTTATCAGATCGACTTCAGATTTGGACACAGCCATCTAAAGACATTCACGATTAAAAGTTGTGCTGTTTGCAACATTCTGTCTAAAACGCCC